TGCCACGGTGCATTCAAATGCAAACATTACAGTAGAAATGAATGCAACAACAGCTGCTGTTGCAACAACAATGACTGACAATCATTGAAAATTTCACAGCTATCAGCCATGTCATGTACTTTGTATCTCATTTGTACCAACTCCAGCCTTGGATGATGTAAGCTATCTGTATAAGGTATGTGCAGAGAATCAAGTTAGCATCTGGGAGCATGAGCCCCCTCTCATTTGGATTATACCAGGCTATTACCGAGGTATATGGAGAAGCTCTGTTCCATTAGAGCAACACAGCCAAGAGCCAGCCACTATAATTATATACTAATTTAGCCTCCCATCCTGAATAGAAAAGGCAGAGGGATGAGCAATGTGAAACAAAGAGGGAAAAGGGTCATGGGCAGAGGGAAAAGAAAGACAGAGGGAAAGAAGATAAGAGAGGACAAATTAAGAGCCCACAACATCACAGAGATTTACAGAAAGCTTATTACAGGAATAGTTTGATAATTTGAGAAATCTACTATTCATCTCCATGCTGAGATTGATACAACTCACTTTTGTACACTATGGAAACGGGGAAATTTTCATGAAATTGAACCCTATTTTTGATGTTATATATTTTTTGTATTAGCTAATCAGTGTATTTACAGTTCGTATTTATCTCTCTAGTAGTTAGGGCGAGTTATTTCTCTATAGTTTTTATTGGTAGTGGCGGGGTCCGCCATTCCCGCGATGAATGCAGATTACCTACCCAACCACAAGGGATCCAATGCCTGGATAATAATCGAGTGCAAATTTATTATTTGATAACAGTCTCACTGTTTACTGGTCACAGTTTTTTGGTCAGCAGATTTATGTTTGCAAGGAAGTAATGGCATTGAACGGAGCAGCCAAAATGAGCTGTTGGATGAAAAGATACAGGCTGCTAGGGCCCTATTATTTCTAAGATGCAGTAAACTGACCAAATCGTGGAATTTTATAAAAAATGGAATCAGCTATTTAATGTGGAATATCGCAAAATGTGGCAAAATGTGGCTGCAATTGATAAAAATGGGTTTTTTCCTAGCGTCATAAGCGTCTTTTTCACAGCACTTAAGCCAAACTGACAGAAAAACTACACTGCTATGTTTCGGTTTCATTTATGAGCCCCCTGCTTCTCTCCGCTGCTCTTTGTCAGTGTTTCACCGAGGTAGGACACACACAAACACACACACACATTATATCGAAGTCAGCGTGCTAGCTCATCACTTCAAGAAATTCTCAAAAGTGCAACCACATTGGAAGTTGCATGACATTCTTTTATACGATCTATGTGCAAGACGAAAGCTCTTTGAAGACTTTGTGTGAAAAAAATTAGAAGCTACGTCAACCAACATATGGAGGCTGTACTCTGTAGGAAGAAATTATCAGTAATCAATCAAGTAATAACCTGTTTAATAGGGGACAATTCACAGTAAAAGTATTGCAACAATAAATTCATTGTGCATTGTAATAAATAATTGCACATAGGCCTACATTTCTATATGCTAATTTGGTTTGATACATCAAATTCATTGATATGATTACATTTTAAATATTTTCTTATCGAGTTGTTAAATTATATTTATCCACCACATGACTACACATTCTTTCTGATGACAAAATGTGCTTAAATTGTAAAACACAGAATTCAGAAAAAATGAACACGAAATTTGGGAACATCATCAACTTCACTGTGTCCTGCTGTGTGGAAAACTACTAGTGCCATGTGCAGTATGAAATCAGATTGCGGTTGCAGTTATTTTGACTGACTTCTTTATAGAACAATGAGTTTGTTTGGATGCACAGTAAATAGATACACCAGTTGTTCTTCTGTTGTATTTCTGACAGTTGCAGCAAGTAGCTGCTCAAAAACTGTTTGCTGTAGTATTAAACAGCACTTGCTGTTACCAAAGCGTCATAACATTTCCATCATGAGACTTGTCACAGTTAAAATGACAACTGAGCTGAGCTTTGAGGAATTTGATAATTCTTCTATCACAGAAGTAATAGATAATGACACCTTCAAGTTTGATATGTCTATGGAGGTTCTCATGAAATGTGTATGTAAAGTCATCTCCCATAAGTCTGAAAGCTATATATGATCAGTGAGCAGTAAGGGCCCTTCCCAGCTGAGGAGTCACATAACCAGGGGGGGTCAGGGTGATTGTTGGAAAATGCCTACTCGGTACAGAAGCAGCACTATGGCTATCTCAACCACAGCGGCCTCTCTGACAGGAAGTCTCTGCTGAGGTTAACTAC